GACTTGTTGTGAATCACGTGTTGAAAACACATCTGAAATCAACGCCATTTGAATTGCGGCCAAAATGCGGACAAGAAGTGGTCAGAAGTACACGGAAGAGGGCGGCAGCGAAGCGCCCAAACCTGTGGCCACACAACCGACCAAAACGCCGAAACGCACCGAAACCACGACCAAGAAGGAGACGACCGCTAAGAAAAAGGCGGTCAAAGACACCGAACCCAAGAGTGAATCCAAGACCGAGTCCAAGACTGAGCCCAAGAGTGAGTCCAGGAGTGAATCGGCGCCCAAACGGAGCCGAAGAGCGGTTGTTGCGGAGGAAGAGAAGCCGACCACAAGTGCTGTCAAAGAGAAGAGAGGTTTGTTTTGAACGCAAAGAGAGTTTCCATTGATTTGTTTTGCGATTAAAGGGACGCGAAGCGCGAGGAATGCGGAACCGGTTGTCGAAGCGATTGTCGAACCGATGAGAAAGAGTCGGAGAGGAAAAGCGGCGGAAGAGAAGAGCGAAGCGCCGAAAGTGGAGAAAAGCGTCGCCAAAAAAGCGAACGAAAAGCCGACAAAAGTGACGGCAAAACGGAATGCGAAGAAAACGCCGGAAAATGCGAAAGAAGTGAAAGAAATAAACGAAGAATTGAATGAAAAAAGTGAATCAAAAACGAGTGAAGAAGTGATCGAAGAGACGAAGAGTGAGGAGAAGGAGGAGAACGAAGAAGTGAAGGAAAAGAGTGAAGAAGTAGAAGAGAAGAGCGAAGAATTGGCGGAAATTGCGGAACAATTGGACGAAAAGAAAGACGAAATAATTGAAGAGAAAAGCGACGAAAAGATTGAAGAATCAAAAGAAGAGAAAACGGAAGAAAAAGAAGAGAAAATGGATTTGAGTTCAGAAACGGTGACGTCATTGAAGAGGAAAGAAATGGACGAATCGGAAGAAAGTTCCAAAAGACAAAAAGTGAGCCGTTTTTCCGTTCCGTCGATTCCCAGAGTTTGCGGACAACTGTTCTCTTTGGGCGAAGAAATCGCCGGTGAATTGGGTTTACGACAGAAGCGCGTCAAAGAGACCAAAGTGAAGGACAACGAGCCGTCGCCCGTGACGGACAAAGAGCACAACGCGTTGGATCACGTGGTGGCCGTGGTTTGCGGCGCAATGCACTCCTGCTGTCTGACGTCAGAGGGAAAGGTGTTGACGTTCGGCTGCAACGACGACTCGGCGCTCGGGAGAGACACTCTGACGTCATTGGACGCGACGGACGACAGTTTGGATTTGGACGAGTCGGAAGAGCGCGAGTGTCGCACTCCGCGACAAGTGGCCGGTTTGCCGGAAGTTGTGGTCAAAATGACGGCCGGAGATATGCACACGTGTGTCCTCTGCGCCGACGGCTCGGTCTGGGTTTGGGGAAACTTCAAGTGAGTTCGCAATCACGTGATCTCAATCTCTTACAGTGCTTTCTCTCCGCAGAGACGAGTCCAAGAAGTTCGGGCTTTTCAGCGAAAGCGCGCGAAACGGCGACGACTTCGAGGCGACGCGAGTGCCGAAGCGCGTGAACATCGCGGCCAAAGTGGTGGACATCGCGTCGGGCTGTCATCACATCCTTCTGCTGTCAGAAGAGGGACGAGTGTTCAGTTTCGGCGAAGGCTCCAAAGGCCAGTTGGGGCGCATCGGCGAAGACCGCTTGCAGGCGCTGCAGTCGAACCGCGCGCTCTTTCTCGACCCCCAAGAGGTGAGTCTCGCCGCAGACGTCGTGGTGGAGAAGGTGTGGGCCTCCCATTGGTCGTCGTACGCGCTGACGAGCGCTGGTCACGTGATGGTGTGGGGACTCAACAATTACCACCAGTTGGGCTTCCGGAGCGAAGGCTTCGTCGAAGTCGTGAATTGCGATCAAAACGAGTCGCAAACGAGTCTCAAACTCATCGTCGAACTCGAACCCGTCCGCTGCCCGAACGCGCCTTCCGACGTGCGGCAGATCGCCAACGGCCAGCACCACGTGATCGCTCTGGACGCCGAGGGCCGGGTGTTCGCGTGCGGCTCCAACACGTACAGCAAACTGGGCTTCAAGACGGAAGTGAGCGCCGACCACACGGTCGACACCTTCACGCGCATCGACGCGCTGGACGGCGTGTGCGACATCGCGTGCGGCGAGTTCTGCTCGCTGGCCGTGACCATAGGCGGCGACGTGTTGTCGTGGGGTCAGGGCTCCAAACACATCGGATCCGCCGACTTCCAGGACATCGAGACGCCGACCAAAGTGTCGGGTCACGTGATGGCGTCCACGAAGTTCGTGAGCGCTTCTTCTGGTTCCCAACACTCGCTTCTGATTGGCTTCGAGCGCGAAGTGAACGGGAATTGAGTTTTACGTCATTTTAGTTGTTTTTTATTTCATGAATTCGCGTTTTAAATGAATTATTATTTTCATTACAATTATGATTACTTTTTGTGATTAAAAATCATTTCTTCAAAACTATATTAAAGACCAGAGAAACGAATTTCTCGTAAGAAAGCGTTATATTTCCCGAAAGATTGGAATCCAGTTTTCGGAACTCTTCGGTCAACGATTGCAAATGAATGCAAATCTTTATGAAATCGTCGAAATGCAGGTTTGCCTCGAATCGGGACAAAAGGTTTGCGTAAAACTCGTCACTAAAGCGGTACCCAAAAGCGGTCAACGCTTTGGCCAACTCTCGCGCGTCGATGTGTCCAGAATTGTCGCCATCGAAGCTCTGGAAACACTTGAGCCAATCAGTGACGTAACGCCACAATCGCGTGAAGTCCGCGAAATTGATTGTTTTGGTGTTTTGCGAGTCAAACATCGCTATCATTAACGAGATCTGCGATTAAGACACGGATTATCACTAAATGGACACAAATGTCGAGACAATTACGGTTTGGATGTCAAAGGGACGAAAGGTTCCGTTGGAAAGCGCCGACTGGAGTTCACTGGCGTTGATGTGTCCGCTGCCATCCCTGTCCACTGACCGGAAGTGTTGTTCCAGTTGTCGCGCGTCCGCAACCGATTCGCCGCTCATTTCTGTCACGTTTTGTTTACACTATTATTGTCCATAAATAACGTGCGAAACAACTTTCAATCAAAACTCTTTCGTTCAAAACTTTCGGATCTTTCAATAACTGGTTTCTCTCGCGTGACACGAGATCGTTGACACCGCGAGGCTTTTCTCCCGAATGAATCAGAGTTTAGTTTGGATTAAAGTTTATTTGAATAAATGACACAACAATTGCAGTTTCAACCCATCGTCTCGTCCTTCGCTCTGTGAGTCCTCTCCAAATGGAATTTCATCGCTTGTCGCGATTGAAACCTTTGGACACATCCCTCGTGTTCGCAACCGAACGGCTTCTCACCTGCAAAGCAAAGCACGTTCAGAACAATGTAGAGCAACACTTGACAACCCGTGTGTTTCAACGTATGCGCCTTCAAGTGGTGGCTCTGGCGGAACGTCCACTCGCAGTGCCGACACTTGTACGGCCGCTCATCCGTGTGTCTCTTCTTGTGCGCTCTCACGCCCTGCGGATACCACGACTTGTAATCGCAACCCTTAAACCAAACCAAACATCAGTTCCGAACACAACAACAACGGTCTTACGGGCCAATCACAGGCGAACGCTTTGGTGCCTTCGTGTGTCTCTCGATGTCGCGTCAAATTGCGTTTTATGGGAAACCGTTTTCCGCAACCCTTTCAACACAGACAGCATTAGTTCCGATACAACACTCTCTCTCTCTCTCCTCACCGGCCATTCGCACACGTATTGCTTGTCTCCGGTGTGGCGCCACAGATGTGTCTTCATATCGACTTTGGCCTAAAAACAACACGTTATGAGAGAAGCGATGGAAGCGTTGCTCACTTTGAACTGTTTGTGACATTGCGGCCAAACGCACGCAAACGTGTGCTCAGTCTTCGGGTCGCACTTCGGCGCGCGTTTGGCGTAAGTCTTGGGTCGCGCCACGAAGCGCTTCAGACGCGCGATTCGTTCGCGAAGATCGAGATCTCTTCCGTCTTCTGTTTTGGTCATCGAATCAAAGAGCGTTTGTTTTCGCGTTTCGTCTCCGAAGCTCTGAAAGTGAGCCAAAAGTCACTCAAAGGCGATCCCAAAGGCAATAATCTCACCGTTTGTTCACTGGGCGTGGATTCGTGGCGGACGTGATTCAGGTGATGATATTCTTCCATCAGAAGATTGAATTTGATTCTGATATTGGTTTCTGTATTGCATTTACAGTTGTTTACCATTGAGATCAACAAAACGCGGAATTTCTCCATAAGAGTCAACATTTCGTTCAACTCTTTGTTCTCCTTCAGCAGATCTTCGCCTTCGAGACCACAAATCACTTCTGAAGACATTTTCACTTTTATTTTGAGTCAAAATTTTGACTTCAAATCCGAGGGATTGTATTCACATTGCGTTCGCCTTTCACTCAAACTTCTTCGCCATTCACGCCAACCGTTGTCCACAAATCAGGATTAGTGACCAGCAGGTGGTCGTCGAGTGGTCATCGGGTGGTCATCGGGCGGGATGTGTGGCCACGAGTTGTGTCCGAAAGTGGCGCGTCTTCACTGCCCAGCGGTCACGTGTTGTAAGACATGCGCAGAGTTTGGCAAACATTGAGTTGTCATTGAAAGCGATGTTTGGTTTGAAAGGGTTTCGATTGTTGGCCGCGAAGTGCAGCCGATGGTCACAAACACGTGGTCTCAATGTTCACGAACACGTGGCGATGGATGTGTTGCGGTCGGGAGGCGTGAATGTGCCGCAGTTCGGCGTCG